GTGTGATAATTCCTTCAGGTTTTCTATATTTCACAAAAAAACCCCAACACCCGTGGTATTTCATAATCTTCTCTTTGAAAGTGGTGGTGTTGTGGTACAACATGTTATGCCAAATTCATAGCTGTCCTGGATAAAATCTTCACTTATGGACTTCTAGATCATGAAACAAGGCCCACAGATTGTGTAATATTTGTGCCATAGGAATATATGATATTGTAGGGGATGTTCTAATTCTTCTACCGTGTACTTGGCATATGTGATTTGTAACAAATAATTGAACCGAGCTTTGTTTGCGTAGTCCAGCTATAGAGAAGGTAATTTATTATGCAGAGCCTCTCTGCATTGCTGTGGAATTTTTTTAATAGATCAGATGAGAAGAGGCAGCTTTCTCTTTTGCACATGCCTCCTATTCTCATTTCTGACCTCATTCCATGAGACTAGGGATCTTCTCATCAAACTGTTCTATCTTCCAAATCTTTCTGTGTTGAGCAAGGCAAATCATTCTCCCCCAGTTCTTCATGGATGACTTCGTCAGCAAATTCTGAGGGATTGTTAAATATCTGGAGTGTGAAATTGTGTGGAGACTTTTGAAACAGAAGTGGAAACAGAACATACATTATAGTCACATGTTATATGTTTAAACTGTTTGAGGTCTATAACAAGGGACAAAGTAAACTTCAGATTAAGACTAGAACTTTATGACTGTTGATACCAAACAATTAGGCAAGAAAATGTGGAATATTCCTTCGGAAAAACATCAGTCATGCTAACTACACACAAGTTTATTGCTGGTGCTTTTTTCTATACAATCACAGCATCGAAAAAAATCCTTTAATCAGAAACTGATTTTTGTATCATGCTTTTTTTCAGTGTCTAGGTTTTTTTAAAGTTTTTTTTTTTTGCTTGATGCTTTGGACTTTTTTCCACTTTAAGTCTTAATCCTTACCCCTATTTCTTGTGCCTGGTTTTAGGAGAATTTTCTTGTCTCTGCACACATCAATGCCATTTCCTGCTATGAAAGCGAATAATAGATATCTACTCTGAGTACAACTTTATCAGCAGCTGTAGCTGCTTTTGAGCACGTATCTTAGGGTGATAACATAAATCTTTACTTGCTGGTAGAAAGTAATGTAGGACTTTGCCTTGGTCAAAATACATAGCATCTACTGTTAATTTGTCATCTAGTAGGGGTTTAACAGTCTTTTTGAAAAATCCAAGTATTAGTAAACTTTAGCTTTTAAAGCTTAAAAATAGATAGTGTATTACAATTATTCAATCTAGACAGTAGATCTAGAAAGATTATAAAACAGAAAATTTCATCTTTCCCCCTTTTCTGGAAAAGGTAGTTCTTCCCCTTGCTGTAGTCTTCTGAAGCTCCTCTGCCTTATGTGATTTTAGTTTGTTTTAAAAAAACCTGCCCATGTTTCAAAGGTTACTCAAAGGAATATTTTTTCCATTTATAACTTGCCCTTCAGGTAACTTGAGCCCCTTTAAACATCATGCAGATAATTCAACACTTTTGATAACTCTCATCAGTTAAATAGTAGTTGCTATCGGGTTGGAGACAGAGAAGAAAATAATCAGAGCAAGAATTTCGTCATAGTATTTACACATGCGTATAAATCACAGTACTGAGGAACTAGGAGTTGTTTTTTTAGTTTGGTCATGCTTTTTTTGCTTTTTCACAAATAAACACAGTTTACCCACATGAAAGCACAATAAATCCTTAAGTATTCTGTGCTGAATTTCATCAGCGTTCTAACCTGAACTGTCTGACCTCATAAAAATATTCCCCTTCCTGTTTTTTTTTTGCCCTATTCTCTGCCCTGTAGTTTTATCTTCATGTCCAAATTAATTTTGGGCATGTTCGCAGAGCTGATTGCAGGCAGATTTGAACTTTGTTCCCTCTGGGAGCCAGCTGGCTGGAGGCCAGCTCTGGCCATGTTGCAGTGCCCGAGCTGATGAGCTGTGCTTCTCAGCCAGTCCCATTAAATGCATCCGAGCCCCAGGAAGGCAGGGTCATGGCCTGCAGTTCAGAGGCAGCTTGTGCATGCCCAGTTCAGAGCATTAGAAAGGAGAGCTCGTGCCTGCATGTCATTCCCTGGGCACAAAGACCTTTATCTCACCACAGTCTCTCCCTCCTTCTGGAGACTCAAACAAAGAAAGCATTTAATAATTTTCTGAACTTATCTGTAGTAGCTGTTATTTGAACCCCTTTCTCATATTGTAATGTTTGCCTTTTACTGGGGTTTCTTTTTGGCTTGCCTTATCACACATTATTGAAACCTTTTAATATGGCTTATCATGTGCTTTGCTAATTAAAACTCATGGTCTGTTTTAACTTTTCTGCTTTTATCTCCCTGGCACAGGGAGGCTTAGACTTGTCCTTAGTAGCATTATTTTATGCTTTTTCCATGATCTCTTTTCCACATTTAGTTCATTGGAAATTGCCAGTGTGGTTACGCTGATCCGTCTCTGCACTTTCTCTCCAGAGATACTCAGACATTTCATACAGTCTCTTTCAAAAACTGCCATCTCCCATCCCTCTCTGTTCCTTGATTACTTTCCCAGGAGATCTCCTCTGCCTGTTTTCTGAGCCTGCTGGCCCTCATACTGCTGTGCTTGTCTTTGCAGAATACCAGTCTCATGCTACAGTCACTTTCACTCCAACTACTACACACCCACAAAGTGTTGGTCAGGTATTCTCTAATGGAATAAAATCTATTTTGTCTGTTCCCTCATAAGTTTTGTTCACCTTTGGAAAGGAAAAAGTGTCCTTGGTGCATTTTTACATTTCTCAATGTTGATCTGAACGGAGTCTATCTGCTAGAAGCAGGTTCTCTTAGGGTGCCTCTTTTTATCCTTCAGAAAAGCCTTGGCCATCTCTGCCTCCTTGTGAGCTAAGGTGACAATATTTCACAACACTGAAGATCATGTTCCCTTTCCCATATTGTGTTTAATGCTCACACTGCCTTCACCACTGAAGTGCAAGTTCCAATAGAAGTTAAATGTGTTATTTCAACTAAATACTGAAAACAATACGCTGTCTGGGTGTAGCTTTTCTTTTATGTATGAAACAACAGTCTTCCTCTAACATCATTAACATGTAGTCATGAATATATAGTGTTTCCTCAATGCCTTATGGGAAATGAATGCTGGAAGCAATTTTGTGATTTTCTCTAAATCAGAAGATGGAATTTATTTTTTAATCTCAGCTGGGATGGAGTATATGTAATTTGTCAAAAGAAATCCTAAGTATGCATGAGGAGTTTTAGTATGGATTTTGCAGCAAGTATATCCACAACTGGAAGAGTTTCAGCTGAGACACTGCCTGAGTGGATATGGTATCTATGTATTTAGTAACCCTCCCTTCGTAGTTTTTTTCAGAAGCTCATCTTGAACCTGTAAACAAAGGTTAAAGTTACTGTTAGCCAAAAAATTATATAGCTGCGCTTTCCTTCCTGGGCCTCTCCCAAGATACACTTCATGCCACTAAGGAAGGACTGTTCTCCCTTTCTGAATTTGTAAACTCTATATTTCAATGATGTGACTTTTTGCTTTATATGCTCACATTAACATGTGTTAAATTAATTTTATAGCTTCTTGCTTCAAAATTCACTGAGTACTGCAAGTCATTCTTTAGAGATTCCTCCCCTTTTTCCATTTGAGCTTATACACGCTTCTACTGGCCACTTTGATTTTAGTGGTACTGTGAAGGAGTCATTTATCAGAGAATTACTTATTCTTGCTCCTTACAAAGTACAGAACAATTTGCAAGAAACACATCTCAGCCTTTGAAGTCAATTCCTTTTTTACCCTTCAGCTCATTGCTGTTGCTTGCTAAATAGCACATTCTAAATTGCTTCTATTAAAGTTGATGGGTCAATGTCACAATAGCAAAAGATTTTTCACAATATATATTTAATTTGACAGTTGTGAATGTGCCACACTTCAGCCCTGTTGGTTTCCAGATTAGCATTAAAACAATATTGAGGGAAGTGGGCAGCAGAGGGGTTTCCATTTTTGCAGCTGGGAGTTCTTTGGGAAAAAATAATGAGAAACAGAAAGTAGAGCAGAAATTTTTCCTAAAGAAGGACTTGTGTTTTTAAATACCACTCAAACCGGTCCACACATTTAATGAGTTTAATTCAACTGCTCAAATATTATGAAAATCTCTGTATCTATGTTTTATGTAAGTATCCACAGATTAGTCAGTCGATCACAGAATATTCCAACTTGGAAGGGACCCACAAGGGTCATTGAGTCCAACTTTTAAGTGAATAGCCCATACAGGGATGATGTGTTATGAAAAATACTGTAATTATTTTCATTTTAACAGAAAATTACTATTTTAAAACTTAAGTTATTTGTTTGAAAAATGCCTATATAGTCTAATACTTTTCATTTGTTGGAAGTGAATTATTTTAACAATGTATTTAGCACAGTTTTTATAAGGATAGTGTTGCAGTAATTGCTGGTACTTCTATTTTCTTTCTCTTAAAAAGAATTTTAAATCATAATTGGTAAACAATTAGAAAAAATTAGACTGTGGTAACTTTAGTGGCATTTTTAAACAAATAACTCTTAGGAAAGTGTATTGATTACTAACCTATACTAATGAAAACTCTCCAAAACCAAGAACTGAATGAACCTCAAAGGATCTTCTGTCTTTACACCTTCTAAAACTGATTCTTCAGGACGTGTGAGAGGTGTGTTTCTAGGGAAGATGTAATCTCACTACCTAACCTTGTGGGTTTTGTTCCTCCAACTTTGAGAATAAAAAGAATACTTTGTTCTTCTGCTTCAGTGTCATTCTGATACTAGTGTAAAAAACAAGTGTACAATAGTAATTTTCTGGTTTGATGCCTACTTCAAAATTGTCAACAGTGTAATAGATCTACTGTAAATATAAATTGATTCTGAAAACCAGTATCAATCCAAGGACCGTATAATTCTTACATTGTCTAACTTGAGTTACCTACTTTTTTTTTTGTCTACAGACACCCTATTTTTGGCCATCAAATTGTTGGGAGCCGGAAAACACAGACTATGGTCAGTGTAGAAATCTTTCCTATTTCTTTTGGAATTTATGTGTTATATGAATGAACGTGTCGTTGCAGTCTGTCTTGTTTAAACATCCCAATGTTTAAAACATAATTATATGTCATGTACTTCCTGTGCAAGAACTGCTGATATTGAAGTGAATGTATTGTTACCTTTTTGAAATTTTATCAGAAGTTTAACACAGTCAGATTTTGGAGTCAATCTGAGGAGAAAAGTTAAAAAAAACCCTAAACCCAAAACTCATCAAAATCTACCTTACCATTTACATATTCTCTTTGCTCCAGCAAGTATAATTATTTACAGTGACAAAAATCTCAGTGAAGCAGTATACACTTTGTTGATGGTTGTGCAATGGTTATTCTCAGATTCAGACCCAAAGTTATGTGTAGTTTGGAACTCTTCTTTCAGATATAGACCGTGTAGAAAATTATTATGAAAACTAGTATGGTTCTAATATGAACTATATTAGAAAATACCTTGTTTAGTTGCCTGTGTCTCGAGGACTTATTAATAAATTATATACTGTAATTACTGACAGCAAAATGTGAAGATAATAAGTAGTAATGTATTAGAAAAAAATCATTAAAAATTATAACAAAATTAGGTGCTTCTCTACATCAAATAGTGACTTAATTTTTAAAGCAAGTGAATCCTGTTCACTCTAATCCAGACTGTAATTCTAATCTAGGTCATTTATTTAGGTAACTGAGCATGTACATGGTAGTTTATGTTTTCAAAACCTCAAACTTTGAAAGTCTCTTTTTACAGTTTTTCAGAAATTTAGATGAGTGTTCACTTGTAACATGGATTCTTTCTCAGCCTTTGGGAGCTGAGGACCTCAGGGATGCATGGTTACAATAGAAGTTTCCTTACTTTTTGGAGCAGACACAGTTTCATTTCAAATAAATTGCTAAATAAAACAATTTCAAGCTGAGACTCTCAGCAGAGCTGAGTGCCTTCAAGCTAGAGTTTGAAAATGTGACAGTTTTCTCATCCTGTAGAAGTAGAAAAATGTTATTTTTAAAAAAAAATACTGATATTTGAAGATGTCCAGTATATAGTTGTTGAAAGCTACCAAGGAGGAGTAATTCATACCATACCTGTGTACTTAGCCACTCCATATGAGTCACTGAAGAAGAAATGCTTGATTTACTGAATAGAATCTCCTAATACGGTAAAGATCAGCAAGTAATTTACTACGGTTAAGAGTCATTGAGTTGTTCAGCCATAATGTGTATCACACTACCAGGGGGATTTTAATAAATAATTATATGCTTAACAGGTTTGAGATCAGGATGAGAAAGTTTCTATTAAAATCCTTTAGTCTAAAGTAGGAGACGCTTTCTAGTGACAGCTGATCAGTGGATTGGTAAATGAATTATGTGCCTTAGTCAGTGAATAGAAATCTTGTATAATCTGTTCAGTTTTGGCATACCAGGAATACAGAATTAAACTTGGAATCAGTTTCTTCATTATGCGGGGAGGTTCCTTTGTTGAACAGTAAATTTATTCATTTGAGAACTTTTGAGATTAAAATACGTTCCAGTTGATGAATTTAAGATCTTCTGTTGCAGAGGGGAGAAGGGGAAGGGAAATTCCCAACCCTGCCATCTCATTGCTCCAAGTCATGAGCTAAAAGTGCAATCCTCTAAGAAACACACTGCAACTTCCCCACCCAACAGGGCCAGAGCATTGCACTAGAGCTACCTAAGGTGGCTGTGTGTCACCAAATACTGGATAATGCTAGAGCATTTGCAGGAAAACAAACTTTTCAACAGTGTTTTTATTAGGTTAGCATCTTCCCAGTCCCAGAAATTATCATTTGCTTTGTAAACAATAGTGATCAGAGGATTACAGGATAATCAGACAATATTTAAGAAACCAAAATAAAGTAGGTTTGAAACAAATTGAGAATATTAAAGGATAAATTTCACCTCAAATACGCCTCAAAGATGTTCTGTAAATTTTCACAGTAATTTCTACTTCCTAGAAAATATAGTAAATAGAATTTATGTTATTACAGATATGCAAATGCATTTCATACTTATCATTACAGTGCTGTGCAGTGCTCTCAATTTCATGGACTTGTCCTGAACAACCTTTAAACTGCACCCTATAAAGCTAATGAGTGTGGCAGGCATGAGAAGTCTCTCAATAACAGCAAAAAGTAGACTTTCTCTGTAATTTTCCTTTATCAATATTTTTAACAAAGCAAACCACTTTCTTTGGCATTAACCTAATTATAAAAGCCTTTCTGAACACACTAGAATTTTATTTTAATTTAAAAATTAATCCCAACGATTCATCATTACTCACTCATAGCTGAGCTACTGTCCAGAACATAGCATACTGCCAGGAAAATAATTTATCTTAAACAAGAAATTAAATGAAATTCAGATACTGTGTGTTAGTTTGCTATCAGAGCTAACTAAGAAACAAATAATCTTTATATCTTTGTATAATTCGTTAATATTTTCTCTAAAGTATAATTTGTTGTGCGTGAGCTTTTAATATCAAATATTTTTCTTAAAAGAAATATTTATCTGAAGAAAATATTAATAAAAAAGACATGAAAACAGAATCATCCAAAATGTCAAAAAACTGCAGATCCATTCTCATAATAAAGCTGTAGTGCAATGCTATGTCTTTGTGGCAAAAAAGAGGGCTTGGATTAATTTACTTTATGTCAAAATAGAATCAAGTAGCCTTTTCATTGTAACTTTCAAAGTATTGAGTGTGATCATTCGGAGGTTACTAAAAACTTCTAATTTTCATAAAGTGCTGAAAAACCTCTCTCCTTTTCCTTGAAAATCACGCTTGAAGGGTTGTTGAGAGATGCCTCAAATTTCAAATAATTTTTGCAAAGGCAGGTTCTTAGGTTCCATCTGTTGAAGATACCCACTTTCTTGCCATATGTCTTGTAGTCCACCCAGGCAGGACATGTTGTTCTGTGTAGAATCCCATTGGCTTCAGTTGGATTTTATTAGTGAAAATAAGTAATAACAATAATAATAATAACAATTATTATTAAGGCGAGTGTAGTTCAAATAACTTTGTTTTTCCTGTGAGTTAAGTCTTGTTGCTGAATTATGATTTGGTTTTGTGACAAATAGAATTGGATCTCAATTCAGAAAAACTGGCTCTTGAAATGAGCACGGCTAATGGCTGAGCGTGTGGCCTTCCCATAATTATGTTCTCTTTTCTTACAGATGTAATTTTATAACTGACAGATTATTTTTTTCTCACATATTATAACCAGGTCATGTAATTAAGAATTAATTAAATAATTAATAATTATTCCACGTGCCTTTAGCCTCAGTTCTCATGGGACCTGTCAGGTTCTCTGGAGGTTTAGTGACTCAAAGTTGTTGCAAATTTGCAGATTTAAGTCCCTTACTATTCTCTTTTTTTTTTTTTTTTGAATAAGTAAAAAATATGAAAGGTTAGGGAGAATCTGCATTCAAAACAAAATATCAATTATTTTGTTTTTTTCTTTTTGTTCCTTAAGCTCGAGCCTAAGGAAACAATTTAACAGAGTTGTGACAATGTGAGACACTTATAAGAATTTCAGATAAATAAGATATGAAGAATAAGTCATTTTTACTCATTTACTCTAGTGAACTTTTGTTGATGGTTAGACTCAAAAGTATCTGTGACATACAGACCTTTTCTTACAGTTAACTGCATATTAACAAAAAATAGAAGTATGTTCAAAGGAGAGAAAGAATTAAATTTAGAAAGTTCCACAGTCACAGTCATAAGAAGGTTTGGACTCATACTGGAAGACAAAAGTCCACTGCATCTATATATTTGCAACAAGATGTTGTTTGTCTTGTACTTTTACTGGTGTGCATTTCTCCCATGAGTTAAAAATGGAGGAGTACTGCAGAATCTTGGTAAGTTATGGAGAACACAGTAAATAACTGATAGTGCAACATGATTTTAAAATCATATGACCACATGATCTTTAAATGATACTAAATGAGACTATTTTTCTATATATTCAACGCAAATTCTTAAATTTTGCTGCTCTGAAGAAAGGCAAGTTTTGAAAATGTAACATATTTTCAGTAGCCTTCCTGGTAAAGTCATGTAATATAAAGGCACTCTCCTAGAGAATTAGAGCAATAACGGAGGTGAGACGGGGTAAGTCTTATTTAATTGCTGCCTTTGAAAATGTAAGATACCTGTCTGTATAAGTCCTGCAGTTCTTTAGGCAGTCATGACTTTGTTTTCCAGCCTGGGCTACAGTAAGATAAGGAAACCATTTACTTTAGCTGTGTCAAAGCTATTGTCTCATTTTTATGAAAGCACAATTTTTTCCTTATTAAAGTTACTTGATAATCAGCTAACAAGTCAGTCTGAACAAAACTTCCTTCCTAATGATACCTTCTTATCACTTAAAAGTAATCTGACAGAGACCTCTCTGTGTTCAGCCTCTGCTGCTCTGTTCAAAACATGAACCATCACACCTGGCTCATGTCCCTCCTCTCTCCCAGACTTACAGTCATGCTGAAAAGTACCTAATGCATAAAACGTAACTGCAATCACATATCATGTTTTTCACATATGGAAAATTTTCATATAATTTTCTCTTTAGAGTTTTTTGTCTACTTATTTTATATGCCTAGCCTCAAATCCCTCTATGGAAATTTGATAAGTCCAGGCATTTTCTCTCTCTTTTGTCTTGTTGTACCCTATACCATGGAGTAACTGTCTGGAAGGAGAACTATACAGAGAATGCATTACATATTTTCTTTGCCCAAATGCTTGGAGAGGATTTCCTTGGCAACAGCTTATTAGTAAGCAATTTGTATTTGAGAAATATGGAGTTCTATTGCTTAGCTGAACTCTTCTAGAACACTGCATGTGCTCAGCATCTCTGGAAATTAACTCATAACTATGAGTCAACAGCTTGGGGCAAAACTGGTAACAGAGTAGCACTTTTTGATGTAGCTGTGATTTATAGAAATAAAAATTTATTTGTT